CCACCGGCATCAGCCACTCCATCACCCCCTCGGCGGCGACACGCCACCGCGTCGCCGCCGCAGTTTTTGCCTCTTCCCCACCCTCCAACTTTCTCCACTCCAACCTCTCCCTCTTCAACTTCGCCCTCAGTTTCACCTTCAGCCTCTCCGGCAACATCTCGTACAACGTAACACGTGCCTCCTCCGCGACCGCAGCTTCCGTCACGTGCATGCAACGCTCCGTCAACATAATCACGTTCGCGTAGCGTAGAGAGAGCCCCGCCCCGCCCACTGTAGTCACCGGCGCGAGCCGGTAAACCCGGTTATTCCTCTCCTCCTCGGCGTCGTTGCGCAACTGGAAAACCCCGGTTCCGGTGATGCTCTTCTTTACGTGAGAAACATTTTTGCCGCGCTTTTTGACACTTTCCTCGTTTTGGTCGAACAAACAAAGGTTGGTACGGTACAACTCGCGATGCTCGACGCGGCAAACACAATTCTCGAAATTGGGTGCCCTAGCGAGGGCTTTTTTGGTGTTCTTGTGGTTGTTCTTGATCTGAGGGACATTCCCGGTGACGATGGAGCCGAAAACGGAGCAAATTCTTTTGTAAACAATGCAAGTGATGCGTGCCATGAGTCCGACAACCTTGTCGAACGTCTGGCCCCAAAGAGAAACCTGTTTGAAGTAAATAATCTGTCTGCGGTAGAAGATGATCTTATCGCTGAAGCATTCGACTTTGACCTTGAGGCCGTGGGTGGCCCTAACGTTTCTCCAGCGCTGAAGCTTCCTCTCGGAGGCTTCCATTTCGCTGAGGGACTCCATGGCGCGGTGGAGGCTGCGGGTGGCGAAGACGAGCTTCTCCATGGCGTCGATCTTGCGCTCGACCTCGCGCGTGCCGAACTGGAGCTTGGCGGCGTCGAGGCGGGGGAGGGTCTCGGCGGAGCATCGGCGGGAGAGGCGGGCGACGGCGGCGGCGGCGAGGTGGAGATCCTCGAGGCGCTCGGCGCAGGCGAGGGAGAGGAGGAAGCACTCGTCGGAGGAGTTGAGGCGGGAGAGGGAGCGGGAGCGGAGGACGTGGCGGCGGAGGCGGAGGATCTCGGCGTCGGAGAGGGAGTTGTAGAGGGAGAGGAGGCGGCACATGGTCTTGGCGGCGTCGAAGGCGAGGATGCCGAGGGTCTCCGGCGGCGATGGCTCGTCTTGGAAGAAGAGGCAGCAGAGGTTGGCGGCGCCGGGACATCGCGCCATGTTGAGTGGGGTCCACAGCTGCAACGTCATCAACCGCGCCTTTCGCTGCGACGACGTCGTCTGGCTCGCTTCTTCCCTCGACCACGACGACGATGTGGTGATGTCGATGCCTTCCATCGCCCTCCACCTCTTTTTTCTTATTTAAGTTTTTCCCTTTCGTGGATTTTCCCTTTTTAATTTCGTGGATGGAGGGCTCACCCCTGCGTGTCCCATTGCTGTAGTTTGTTGTTCAAATCGTCACATTTTTCTATGTTGTCTCTGTTTTTTATAAAATAACTGAATTTGTTGTGATTGTCTGCCTCCGTTAATTATTATTTTCTCATAATCTTATGTAATATTTACGACTTTCTTTCATTTACTACGCCATTAATTATAATCAAACCAATATAAATATTAACTAATATTGCCATTCTTTTCATTTGGTTTAACTATGTTCTTGATGTAGAAACTCACCATTTTTATCAAAGACATTCAATCTATTATTACATAAATAAACGCCTCGTGTTTTGATATTTTAACTATGTATCAATTTTACCTTTCTTGCTTATTAAATTTTCACAAGAGGTAAAAATATTAATTTATATCAAAGTTTATGTACTAATTAATACCAACATAATTGATAAATGATTATTGAAAAGTTAAAAAGGCGAGAGATAATATTAATTTATTTATCATTTTTTTTTCATTATCCAACAACAAGAAACATAAAAAAAATGAAGAAAAAAACTAATACTTTATAAAAATTATAAAATGTCTTATAAAAAGTATTATCATTTCCTTTAAATTGTAACCTGTAAATTTGTAATAAAGATTGAAGGAAGTAGTTTTGATTGTTAATGCAACAAGTTGTAATTTTTTTTAATAGAAATAATGAATTGTAAAATAAAATGACTATCAAATAAGAAATAAATAATGTTCAAATATTCTCTCAAAGAAAAATGCAATTATCTGTACAATAAATTTTGCAAAAAAGGAATAGTATATTATGGTAAAGTGTGATACATTGTCTTAGAATGTAGGTTATGAATCTAACTTATCCATATAAAACTAACTTGTAAAGTAAGAGTTATTTTCTATTTATAATTTTTTTGCTTGTCTTATCTATAATTGATGTGGGACTTGAGTTTTTTTTCCAAGACATCTTCTCACATTCAACACTATTGAGTTTGGTATGTAGATAAATAGTAAATGACCATTTTTGATAATATAATATAGGTGACACTTAGATTTTTCTCAATACATCTCCTCATAAGCTTAGGACTATTGGACTTAGTGTATGTATCAACTATAGCCCATGGGTGGCCTTTTAGAGTAGATCTATAATAACTCTGATACTATTTTAGAATGTGGGTTATGAGCTTAACCCTACAAAATCAACTGGTAAGATAAAGGTTATTCCTTACTTGTAAACTCTTTGTTGATATTTTTAATCGATACGAGACTTGAATTTTTTTTTCTTCAACTTATTGCTTTCTTGATTAGTCTTTGTACTTTGTTTTGTTAATTATTTTTTTTTCTAATTTCCTTTTTTAATAAGTTTCATATTTTTTATTTTTTAAAATTTAATTATTATCTATTGAATTGATTTTTTAATTTTAATTTATTTTTTATTCACTTAGAGTAATAATAATTATTACTATTCATTTTTTAATATAAAACAATAGTTTAGGGCATTAATTATATTGTTATATCCATTGGTTATGATATGTTTACGTAACACTCCTAGTTAGTATAAAAATAAATAAATGAAAAATGTTTTTAATCAATAAATGTTTTATAAAATAATTTAGGCTCTTAAAATAATTAAGTGTATTTGTACTCAATTAAGAAATGTTTGTGAAATTATAATATATTTACATAAGTTATTTGAGAGTTATATTGTAATAATTAATTTGTTTTAATTAAACAAGGGAAGGAAAATGTATGACTGGTTTGTTCTAAAAAAAAATGTTTGACTTGGGTTAATCTGTCATCTTGAGGAGTGAAGGTTTGGTTAAGAGAGTTATTGGAAGGGGTTAAGCCACAATTTTTCACTTTTACACTTCTTTAGTTTTACCTTTTTCCTCTCAATGTAGAACTGCACCAAGAGAATGCATAGGCTGTATGAGATATTTTCGAAAATCCCTATTTTTTTTCTAGCATTTTTTGAGGTAAGGGAAAGTTATTTATCTCACTTTTGGATGTGAGATAACTATTGGGTCACAAGATTGACCTCAATCCTATTGTATGTGTGTTTTCTGCTGCTTTGTAGGGGGCCTTTGGGAGCCCCTTACTTTCCTTGTGTTTGAATGATTATTTAACATGATATATTATTGATATGTCTCTATTGTTCATATGGATGTGGATTGTGCTCTTTTTCATGTGTTTGATGATGAATTGGTGAATTTGTGAATATATGAGAAACTTTTTTTTTTTTTTTTTATGTAGGAAACCCCAATTTTTTAAGTGTGAGATTGCTGAAATTGGAAGATGTTCGTATAATTGATGTATGCTTTGAGTAATTGATGGTGTAATTGTGTAGTTATAGGCTTTAATTGATGTTTTTATTAGTTAGATATTGAAGAGAACCAAAGTTGGGTATAATGTGTGATTTTTGCACTTTTGTACAAGTGTTTGTAAACTAACATCACCTAGGCGCCATATGGGCCAGGTTAGGTGTGGGACCTTTAGAAAGCATAGGCTACTCTTTGTGACTTGTGTGCGGGTCTGGCTTTGGTCATGCTAGGTACGAGAGCTCCAAGAGCTCTCTATGGATGAGTGAGGGCTTATATTTTGAGGTATTTTAATAACTTTTAACTAAGGAATATAATCATGGGTATTTCAATGGCATCGTGAAATACCTATTTTACTTGTTTATAAATTTACAATGAATGTGCTTGTTGAGATTCACCTTATATCATCAAAAGTCATGTTAACATAGGATTTAATAGTGATGCACTATCAGTTATACAGTCATCACAAATCATGGATTGTATGACTTTTTAGATAGTTATTGTAAAAGTCAATTTACTTATCATTTATGATGAATTGTGATTAGATGACTGTGTAAAATAATGTTATACTACTGGTGCAATACCATTAAACTTGTTAACATATTAGTTAACATAATTTTAGGTGAATATTAGATATTAGTCTCATGTTAAGAAATTAACTTTGGGTTTAAATTTAACTTTGAGCACGATGAATGTTTTTTATTCTTAAAGTAATTAAGTTAGTAGTGAAATTTATAATCTTTTTTTATTCAAAATTTACCTTAAATAATGTTTTTTGGTCTATTAAGAATGTATAAGTCCTTTCCATTGAGTCTCTGGTAGAAGTAAAGTGGTACTTCCAACTACGACTCCATACCAAAGCCACATTAATTAATTATCTTTAAATCTAAAAAATATTTTAGACACATAATTAATTTTGTAAATATAATGTAAAATTAAAGACGTAAACATTTACCTAAAATCATATTGATTTTCAACATTGTAACATCCTAAATTTTTTAAAAATTATTAAAAGAATATTTTTATTAATAAATAGGTTTTTACAATTATATTAAATATCTTTTTTTAAAAAAATAATTATGATTGTTTTTGTTAATTAAAGAAAGATTTTTGAAATTATTTTTTATATTAATTATTTGAGATATAAATAAATTTTATTTATTTTAACATATTTTGATTATATATTGTGGTTTTGATTAATTGAGATATTTTATGGATAAGAATGTTTCTATATAAGGAAAATAAATATTTTGAAATTATTTTATTTGAAGAGATATTATCTTATGTATTTATCTATAAGATTTTTAAATAATTAATTAATTGGAATAATAATATATTCTTAGAGATATTTTAAAATAATAGTTTATTTATTTGTTATTTTCAAACAATAGTGAGGATAATTAAATTCAGTCTTTTTGTTGACGGGCTATGCACGTGGGGTAGGGTTATTATTAAATTTGTTAGTAGGGCTAGAGTTGCCTCATTACACGAATCTAATTCATCCATCTTGTGATCTGAAGGAGAAGGAAGAGAAGTAGAGATGGATGGAAAGGACCGTGATCAGCTAAACCAAGATTTTAGCGTCTATCAAGATAAGAGGAGAGTGAGAACCTCACTCTAGGTGTGAGTTATATATATTGGATAGGGGGATTGACTTCTAATCTCATTGTTTGTGATTGAATGCCTTGAATGTTGTTGTGATATGATTCAAATATTCCTTTGCCTTGCAATTATATGAGTAAATTGTGTATTTTTAATCTCTACTGTAAATCTATACTCTTTGTAAATTTTGAATGCATTGGTGATTCATGTTTTTGTTTTGACTCCTTAGGATTACTTTAGGCATGTGAACCAATTATTTGATAATCTTTATAAACTAATAAATGTGATATGAATTATGTGCATAGTGTTGGGAATTGCCAATGTATGTGATGTTGATGTGAACATATGACATTGTGAGATATATGATATATGATATGTGTAAGTGGTCATACAAATAAGCCTAAACATATCTTAGCAATGTGAAAGTTTGGATGAATGGCCTAATAGTGATGTGACTAATATGATGAGAAACAATGTATGTGATGTGATGAGAAATATTGTATATATATATGTATTATGAATGTGATTAGTATGACTATGCATAGAGTTTGTGTGATATGTATTATGTGCATTATGCATTTTTGTGATAGATATAATGTGAAATAAGTTGTCAAGAAATGTCCCCTTATGAACAAGCTTGGGGACTCATGACCTTGGTGACAATTGAGTTTGGGAGCCTTAGTCTCGTCTAGTTGTGTGCATGAAACTCGCATAATTGTCCTGACACACCACTAGTGTATTTTATTCTAGTGTAAAGTATTGTAATGACTTGACCCGGCATGAACTCCTAGACTACTTAGCCTCTGGGCAGGGATAAAGTATTGGCATGGACATAACATACTCATTGTTTGTGAATGACAAAGTTGTTTGATATTGATGTGTGAAATAAACCTTACTCCCTTTATTTTTTTTCATAGTCGTTTAAGGTTTTGCACGGGACTTAAAGAAATAATTGATATTTTAGTTTTCAAAAATATTTATTACTTACTTTCCTACTCTACCCTTTATTTTTTTTTTGCATTTTTGATACTGTTGAACTATAATCTACTCCATTAATTATTAATGCATTGATTTCACATGTGAACTGTAACCTATTCCATTTAATTACACATGTGAGTTGTAACCTA